GTACACGCTGCAGCTACTGAGAATATTGTGCCCATACTGGCAAGGGAGATCTGCAGAAACCTGGCTCTTTCACAGCAGTTGGCCACTGTAATAAGGGAATGAGGGTATGTGTGTGGAGGTGCAAGCCTTGTGCACCCACCTCAAAATGGGTGGGCACTCCTAGCTCTGTAGACACTGGGCCCCGAAATGAGAGCACCTGGCAAAGGGCAACCTCTGCACCTAAGCTGTGCCAGGGAGGCACTGGCACACAAAATTTTAACTGGCAGCACAGGGATTTTTCCCTCAGCCCACAAGTGAACTGAGAAGACATCCCCCCCCCCTGTTTGGAAACAGTGGATGATGGGGGCCCATAGAATTGGACCCCCTGGTCCAATCTTTTTTAATCTTGGGGGGGGGCACCAACTGTAATGCAGCAAATTTGGTGCCTCTACCTCAAAAACCAGGCTGCCCCAGAGCCCCAGATACCCGCAGATCAATTCTCCACTATAGACTGTGAGGCCCATTGACTATAATGGTCCCCATAGACTTTAATGGAGCTGGAAAAATTTGATATTTTTTTTTGCACACCCCCATTGTGCTTTTCAGTATGATTTGTAAGCTGCTTTGAGTCACAGAGCAAAGTAGGATATAAATATTTGAATAAATAAGTAGGTTGGGCAGGTTAATAATATTTAAGCAACTTTCTGTTTGTTAGGTTAGGCAGGATTTTGATAGTAATTGTTCCACCACTATTATACTTGACTTATAATGCTGGTTGTCAAGGTGAAGAGCTAGGAATTCCCACAACTAATGAGGCACAGGTACATGCCATAGCCAGCTAGGGAATTAGCCGCATGCTGGCAATGGATATAGGCAAAACATGCTGATGGCCAGAGCAACCAGTGACTCTAATCATGGAGCTTCCGGTTTTGGCGCAACGAGATTGGGGGGAGCCACAGAGCTCTGCTTCAACAGCCACCCAAATTGCGCAGTTTGGGGGAGTCTGTGTTTCCCAGACTCCTAGGGGTACCCCAGGAGAGGGGTACCTGAAGCAGGGGGCGCGACGGAGAGCCAGGTCTTGATGGTGGCTTTGAACTGGAGTCTCCTGTTTGTCCTGAAGCCCCAGCCGATACAATTGACATTTTGGCACTAAGTTGTGACTACTAAACTTTTTAAGAACTGAAACTGAAAGTTTGCCAAAACAACTACTAAATGAAGCACAAGATCCGAGAGAGGAACTGAGATTGGAAGATGTAGAAATATCTTAAAGGGATCTGAATTATGTTTTTTAGATAAAAATAAAAATATGTTTTATATTTTTAGAATGCTTTTGTTATAAATGGCTATTTTTGTTATAGAAGGGCTACTTACATAAAGAATTACCCAACTGTATAAGTAGAACTATTAATGTAATGTAATAGGGTTTGTAGAAGTAACGGTAAATACTGTTTTCTTTTTTCACTTTGTGGCCTTTCCTATTCCCTATTCCCCTTTCCCTCTCCCTTTTTATTACTCAATAAAAATATTTTAAAAAATCTAAAGAATTAAGGAACATCCATGTGGATGGCTTTACCCTCCATGGTGCAAGTTCCATGCACTACTTCACAAAGGGTGGGCACTCCTAGCTTTGTGAGCAGTGGCGGTGGCTGGTACCTGGCTCTGCACACATAGCAACGACATTTTCCATCATAGTAGCCATGCTGGGGCAGGGCCTTCAGAAAGGCTGTCACACATATTGACCATGGTGCCCTTCAGTTTCGCGTTCAGAGTCCAACGCTGCCTGTTAGTCACTGCTTTTTGCCATATGAACCCCTCATTTGCATAACCAAATCTCCCTGGGGTAGCTGGGATCCCTATGGCTCTAGCAGGTCTCTGTAGTGGAATGCCCACTGAAATTGACCATCTCTGCTTGGCAGCTCTTGTTGCAAGCTGGCAAGCCTCACGGCAGCTGACAGCACTGTTTGCAGAACAGCTCCTGCATGGCTGGTCATCTGATGGTGGCCCTCTAGGGCCAGGGACCACACCCAGGGCCTCTCCAGGAGTGACCACCCATGGCATTTTCACAGTGCCAGATTTACGCATAAGCTAAATAAGCTACAGCTTAGGGCCTCGCTGGAGCCTTATTTGTCATTTTAAAACCCTTTAATTATATAATTATTTCTGTGATTTTGTAAACACATCCTTTATTATTTTTTAATAAAAATTAAAAGACAATATATTTTCAAATATTAAAAAGGCGTATATATTTTAATTTTTTCTGAGACCAGCTGATGTAATTTAAAACAGTAGGGGGCCTCTGGGTTTTGTATAGCTTAGGGCCTCAGCAAGTCTAAATCCGGCCCTGCATTTTCATGTCAGATCCCTTCTGTGCCAGGACATCTCCCCATCCCCATTTCTACATGGTGAGCTGGGCATCCCTGCAATTTTTGTGTGTGCGATATGTGCTTTTGGCAGGGGGAAATGGGGTCCTTTCCTTCTCACCCAACTGTGTCCGTTGTTGTGGCAGCATGTGTGTCAGAATGAGGGCCCTGTTGTGTATTTGAGGGGCCTGTGGCATGTGCGGGATCCTCCGTGCACTCCCTCCTCTCAGTCTGCAACCAGTGTTCCCTCTAAGCTGAGTTAGTGTGAGCTAGCTCACAGTTTTTTAGCCTCTGGCTCACACATTTTTGTCTTCGCTCAGGAAGGATGGCTCCAGTGCAAACTAATTTATGCAGCAGCCAAATCACCTGCTCACAAGTTTAATGCCAGTAGCTCACAAAGTAGAATTTTTGCTCACAGGGCTCCACAGCTTAGAGGGAACATTGCAACAAACACCAACATCTGAGAATCTCACACTCTTTGAAGTGTATTGAAAAGGCCCAGTGACAACAGAGTGGTTGGGTGCAACTGTGACACTTCTGAGCACTACCCCACTCAGTCCTCTGTCTCTGGGGTGCCTTCCTGATGGCCCAGAGGAGAGAAAGACCAGGAGGCTGGATGTGTCTGAGAGCTTCAGAGGGTCAGCTTGTGCTGCAGAGAAGCACATGCAGGCGTTTTGGATTGGCAGTTGGGGTGACGGCTCTCAATGTTGGATCAGCATCTGCATAAGGAAGGGAACACACGGTGACCTAGCTGCCATCATTCATTTTTGGGATTTTGATGGCCATATGGAAACCCCATAGGGCCCGCCAGGCAGCACTCTGGAGGCACCGACAGGTACTCCAATATTGCAAGGTGGACCCCAGGTGGAAGTATCCTGACCTTCCTCACCTGAGTCTTTGTCATGTCAGGAGCACGATGTATCAGGAAAAGCACTTTGACAGCAGTGTCAGGGCATTCTGATCCTGAAAGGGAAAGGGTTTGGCCATCATGTGGCATTGCTCATCACTGAGGTTGGTGGGGCTCCCCACCCCCTGATGTGTTTTGTGCAGGGGAAGCGCTGCCACCTGGTGGGGGCTAATAGGCTAGTGCATGTGCATCAACCTCAACCCCCCTCCCCCAACAGCTGCATAGCCCACACCTGCCTGGTGTGTGGGAACCATGTGCAGCTGGGGACAATTGCTTTCCCCTCAAGCTGCCGGGTTTGGAAGCAAAATACACCATCTCCAGTGCAACTGATTGCCAGTGTTCTTCTTCAAGGTGGGGGCATGGGGTTGAGGTAAGGGCGCCTTGCTTACCTGTTCATGCACAGCTGCTCCTTCTGATCCCAGGAGGAGAAGATCTGGGTTACCTGTTGGGGTCAAAATCTGGGAGAAGTCAGCCACAAAGTGTGGACTTCGCTCTCCCTGTCGTGTGTTCCCCCAAGTGCTTCCACAGTGGTGCTAAGTGCCCTGTCTGTGTATGCACTCCCTAAGTCTTCACGGCAGGGAGCTGCTGGACAGGATTCTGTGCCATGCACTCTATCTCTAGGGTTGTGGGGTGATATCTGGAACCATTTGTAGAGCAGGTGGGCCGTGAGGCCGGCGCAGGGGTGGGTGCTCATTGGGTGCACCCCTGTTGGGTTCCTGTGGGCATGGCTACAGTTGTGGGGGGACGCCGGCATTTTTGCCTGCATAACTTTGCACCTCTTCTGGGGGTTGTTCCTGTGCTGAAACCACTTAGAGAGCCAGCTAATTGGTGCCGCATCTCACATCTCTTGGAACACCCACAATTACACCAGCATGGGTTTGTGCTGTTGCTCTGCTGGCAATACCACTGCAGTGCAGCTGCACTGGTGAAAACTGCCTTTACGCTGGCGTAACTTGGAATTATGCTGGCCTACAGATTAATCTGCTCCCTGAGCCAATTCTGCTCCCCCACCCCCATTTAGGATTGCACTGTGATATACATATTTGTGTATAACATAACAAGAAGAAGAAGAGATTGGATTTATACCCCGCCCTTCACTTGGAGTCTCAGAGCGGCTTACAAACTCCTCTCCCTTCCCCTCCCCACAACAGACACCCTGTGAGGTGGGTGGGGCTGAGAGAACTCTGACACAAACTACTCTTTCAGGAACAGCTGTGCCAGAGTTTGTGACTGACCCAAGGTCACATCAGCAGGTGCAAGTGGAGGAGTGGGGAATCAAACTCGGTTCTCCCAGACTGGAGTCCGCACACTTAACCACTACACCAAACTGGCTCTCAGCTAGCTCCTGAAAATCAATAACTAGCTCCTGAAAATCAATCTATTTGAAAAAGTCTTCATTTTTCTGAAACTCAAATCTTCTCTTTTCCCATAAAATCTGTATTTTACTACAGAAACTAATTCTATCACTCTCAATTATGTAATCTAGAAATATCTTCTATAAAAATAATGGAATGAATTGGCATTGTCTGGTGTGACAATGAAATGCTACTAGTAATTGTAGTGTTGCCTTATATATTATTGGATGCCTGTCAATATAATCCTGTGCTGATTTACTGTAGTCAAAACCCACTGAAATAACTGACCATCGACTGAAGTAACTTAGCATACACTCCATAGTCCAGTATGCAATTAATGGTTGTTTAGAAACATTCTTGTGACGTTGTTTGCTTTCTCTTTGTATATATTTCCTTTAGGGAAATGCAGGCATTGATGGAACAAAAGGCGAAAAAGGTGCCCCTGGTGAAAAAGGAGACCGAGGTCCCCTGGGATTGCCTGTAAGTATCTAGAAAGCAAGAGGACTTCAAAGTCATCCTTTGTAAAAGCCTTAAAAAGAAAAAAAGAAATAAGAAACTAAATTTGACACTTTTATACTTGAAATGGAAGCTATAGCAATACCATATAAAAACAACCACCGAAAACTACAGAAAATGTTTTGATTCCTCCATATTTTGATGACTTGGAAGATCTTGGGTTGGATCCTAAACTGCCAATCTGTCAAGTGCCATAGCAGTTTCACTTGGCAGAATGGCATTTCCATTTCCAGAACTGGGGAGGCTGATTTTTGGCAACTCTTCCTCTCATTGTAGACCCCCACATTGCTCTCCACACAGTTCCTGGGTGTCAAGTCACCTGCAAGAGCCCAATTTCAAGGGGTACAGAGGCTTCAGTGAAAAGAGAATGGTAGGAAGGTTGCTTTCATCTAGCATGATGGCACTCATGCTACTTAGGATCCGAGAGGAAATTTACTTGTGATGTTTTAACACATGTATTTTTACTTCCATCATAATGTGCAGTTGCCAGCTCTAATGCCAAGACACGCAAGAAAGGACGGGAAATAACTTACAGAACTCTGCTCATCTATTAAAAGTGGGATCTAGTATAGGCATAATATAGATCTGGCATAGGTCTTTTTCCAAACAAATCCATTGATCCACAGTATTCTGGCAGTGAGCTCTTTGCTATAAAATATATAATACATTTCCTGTGTAAAATATAGAATCATATAAGCATTGAATTTCTGTCTCTCACACACACAAGCACACAGAGAGAGACTTTCATCAGCCTAGATAAATTAAAGTGTTTTTAAAAAATACAGTGTGTTCTTGGTTAATGGATCCTTTGTGGATTTCTTCACAAGACCAGGTTTTAGGTATTCAAGCTAATTACTCTCTCCAATTCTAAGGATATTTGTGGCAGTGTGTCCAGCCAATATGTATTTCTATCTAGAAATGACATTTAGCTGGCTTTTGACAAAGACAGGATACTGGACCAAATTGCCATTTGGTCTTACTTATGTGGGTGGTGGTGATACGGTACCTTTATCATAAGCAGCCTACATAACTAAGCCATTAAAAAAAAGAAAATGGCTACAACAGCCTCGGTCATGTATTTAAATATTTATACAGAAACCACTGCTGTAATACTCAAATGAATGTTGTCAGGGACACATAGCTGGGATGCACATGATCTTCTTTGTGGTGTCTGTACGGTTCGACACTTGGGTTTCAGGCTGTGCTCAAACCAGACCTCAGAGAATAAAAGAGCTAGCCTCTGGTGTTTTGGGATGCTTTTCTCTCGTGGTCTGGGGAGCAGGCAGTGACTGTCCATGCCTGTAGCTGAAGAGAAAGAACCCTCACACACAGTTCCTTCTTGACCGCTGCATCGCTCACACCTTGCTGCGTTTCTTCTTCTTGAGCTTCCTCTGAACTTTTCATCTCTACCTTTGATCTTTGATCTTCTCATTTACCTATACCAAAAGAAATATTCTGTGAGTTCTAATTCTTTTTCCTTCACCTACCCTTCCCTTGCCCCCCGCCGGGCGCAGCATATGGAAGGGATGACTTTCTTTTAAAAGTGCCATGGCTGCTGGGCCAAGCTTCCCTCGACACAATCTTTGCCTTTCTTGCCTTGGCGAAAGCCACAGGGTTGAAGCCTGTTCTCACTGTGCAAACTTCACTAAACAAGCCAGGAAGAATAGAGCTGCCGGTCTACGGACTTTTCTATTAGAGGCTTTGCTTCACCTGAGCATGTCACAGTCTTCAACTTCACTGGCTACACAGCCTCCCCCGCCTATGAGGAGAGATTCGGATGTGAACTGTTTCATCTCCTTCCGTGCTGAAGAAACAGAAGCCTGAAAAATCTTCAAAGAGGTCATTGGGTTCTTCCTTGGATGCCCTGAAATTGAAACTGTCGATACTGGCATTTGCCTCAACACCAGCCACACCGTTAAACACCACACACACTGATGTCAAAGCCAAAGGTGCTTTGACATTAACACCTCAGTAAGAGCAGGGGACACAGCAGTACCAACTTCAACTCTCTAGGAACCAGCCACTTCCCTCCCGGCAACCCATACTGAGCTGCCTCCAAGACAGTAAGTCTGCCTTGTGCCATCAAGGTCTCCTTCTGTATGCAGCCTTGCTCCTGCGAACACTATCGCATCCGAGACTGCCTACCTCCAGGAAGGATGGCCCTTGCATCAGGAGCCCCACTATTCTTTGGAAGCCCATGAGACATCATCTGTTACAAGGGACCACCACCACTTTTAACAGCTGATTGGGCACAGGCAGCGTGCACCAGTGTAATTGCTCCCCTACTATAGGAGCTGTCATGATCATTATTGATGAAATTACTCTTCAGATTCAAGATCCCCCTCTCACCATTGTTCCAGGTCTTGACATTATCCTTGGCACACTCGCCTTTCCCGGTCTCTGACGCGGTTGACCCATTGATCCTGAGGGAGATCTCACACCAGGTCTCAGACACTCCATCACTGACATCGAACCTCCTGCTGTTGCCTGATATACCACAATCCCCTACCGATGCCTCCATCTCTGCGCCAATCCCGATCAGTAACATAGAAAGCTGAAAGGGATTTTTCATGCCCTTACCCTGTGTCATGCACAGGGGAATCCACTGTGCATGCCTACAGGGAAGGGCATGAGGATCCCAACAGTTTTGTTCTGACCACTGCGCTGTTCGGACCTCTCTCCTTGCTTTGATCGGTAACTACCATGTCTTCTAAATACCTTCTCTTGGACAATTCTCCTTGGACTTGAAATGGATAACAACAGTTTATCTGGTGGGTTAGTGGCTTGGCCCCCTTTGTCATGCCTGCCCCTGCTGATGTCATGCCTGCCTTTGCTGATGCCCCTGAACAGGCTCCTGAGGACCCTGAACAGGCTCCTGAGGACAGTACTGCAGCAGAAAGGCAAAGACTGGATCCTGTAGCTGAAAGCTATCTAAGTGGTGAGGAGGATAGAGCCTCCCAGGGAACACCTGCAAGGGATCAGTCTCTGCTGCAGCCCAGTAATTCATCATCAGACTCGCCTCCACCTGTAACCAGGCTCAGGAATGTAAGAACACAACAGCTGAGAGAGCGAAGGCAGAATGCACGCATGCGTGCCAGAAGATCTCTTAGCCCTGATTACTGACAGGATCCTGTCCTCACTCCTGGCTAGCTAATGAGTTGATTAGCTAGCACTGTATATATGCAAGTCTGTTGCCAGCAGTCATTTGTGCTGGCAACGTCGTTTGTTCAGGACCTGAATCCTTGCATCTCTGCTCCAAACCTTGTGGAATTCTTCTCGGCTTGATCCTCGGCTTTTGACCTTTGGCTTCGTTGACCCTGCGTTCATCTCTGACTCCTCTGGTATTGTTGTGATTTATGGACTTGAAACTTTGGTATATCTGACCCTGCTTTTGGACTGTGATTTAAACCTGCTTGAACCTTGCTACCTGATTTGCCCGGCTTGACCTCGGACTGTTCCTGGACTTTTGCTTGCTTGTGTCACACCCCCTGGTCCTGCCGTGACACCCTTCTTGCCACCCTCTGTTCCCCCTAAGAATTGTGTCCAGGCTGCTCCACTCTAGCCTATGGCCAAATGTTGGAGGTTATTCAAACGGTGCCTCAAATGCAGTAGCAAAATTGCACCCCCTGATGGACATTCCCTTTGCCAGCTTTGCCTTGGGGAAGCCTACTGTATTGAGTCCTGTGTACATTGTTCTAAATTCTTCAAACAAATGAGAAAATTGAGCAGCTAGACTACAAACTGAGCTCCTCAAATTGGCACTTTCCCCCCGATGGCATTATCGCATGAAATCTCCCGTATCGACATCAACAACTGCTATGTCGCCGGTATTGACTCCTTCCAATGCCGATCAGCTGGTGCCAAAATGCCCGGTTTCAGCTATTGAATCGGATAACCCTACTCCTGCCAAGAAACACAGGGAAGGTAAGGAGCATAAGTAAGACAAGTTAAAGAAGTGCAAGAAGGACATGGAGAAGTCCAAGAGCTCTCCATTCAAGGCTAACCCACCACTACACCATGTGTCGAAGCCTCCTCTCACGCCTCTGTCTCAGACTATTCAACTCGCCCATTCGGAGCCAGTCCCTCACGAAAGTGGCGTCACATCTAGCACAACCCATATGGCTCTCTGATTCTTATCACGAGATGGATTTAACTCAAAGATCCCATTCCTCTAGCGCCGAAAGCATCCACACCGAAAACAGGGATTGGAATACTGGATCCTTTCATCCTTCTTCTCCACACCTTCCCACCATTGCTTCTTCAGTGATCAGGATTGATCACCGAGCTTACAGCTTCCTCCACCACCTCCTATCCCATGGGTTCTGACTCAGTGGCAGTACAAGTATAGAGCCTATCCACTTTCTTCTACTGTTTCCTGGCTTTTGGGTTGGGTGGCGATAGATTGGGATTGATAGTTCACGTCTTCCCACCTTTCTCATTACTGAGATCCTACTCCGAGACCAGAACCAACCTTTCTAAGACCACTGCCCCCGACAGATCAGCTTCACAAGCACATGATGAAAAACAAAACCTCACCTTCAATACTAATACAACTGGCACCGAGGGCCCTGACACCGATGCACCCCTTGAACCTGTCTGACTCCAGAGAATCATCCAACAATTCCACTCACGACTCAGGGGATGAGGGATCGAATCATAACTCCAATACCGATCCATCCCCAACACCTAAAGTGATGGATGATCTCTCTATCTCTCCATCAGAGGTCCTGAAATCCTATGGTGACTTTATCAAACATATGGTTCACACACTAAACTTATCCATGGTGCAACCTCCCCCCGCTGTTACAGATACAATTTTTTTATATAGTCCAAATGGATACGTCAGCAGCTGTTGCTTTACCTATGACTTCAGTTCTCCTCCAGTGCCAGTTTGGTGTAGTGGTTAAGTCTGGGAGAAGCGGGTTTGATTCCCTACTCCTCCACTTGCACCTGCTGATGTGACC